ACAATACTAGGTATTTTTAACTTTATTGAATATTGTGTGACCATAAGTATTTTGCAGTCTTTTGTGTGATTGGTCAAATTATTTTTATTAGATATATTAAATAATATTTTTTAGTTGAAAAGTAATTTCTTAATATTCGTGTTTTTTGCTAAAACAATTTATATTTTGAAATAGAGGGAGTATTATTTATATACTCATAACTCGAACCGGTTCACAACTGAAACTATCTGAATATATCGATCGGTAATAAAATAAAATGATTTAACGAAAGATTTTATGTTTTGTTATTCTAGCTTGAGTTTGATTTTCAGAACCTGATATATAATCTATGGTACTATTTTTTGAAGGAAAGTCTTTTCTATTGAGAAAGTTTACAAAATATTTTATATATATACAACACTTTGAATACATGGAAGTATCATTGACCCAAAAAAATATCCACGGTCTATATAGCACTGCAGCTTAACAAAGAAATGGTAGTTCAATTTTCAATCATCGTGTTGTCAAGGACCTTGTGCCTCAAGGTCAAAGATCTATTCACATAACATATTTTAGATAAGTCACTATAAATGAGACACCCAAAAATATGCAAGTAATTGTCAAATCGAATCATAATTTTTTTTTTAATTTTTTTTAAAGAGTTTTAAACATTTAGTTCATAATCTCTTCGGATAGTCTTTAGATATTCCGATATAAAAAATAATTATTTGTCCCAAATAGGGTCTGAACCCGGGACACAATAGAATATCATAATTGTTAAATGCATCTAGTTCAATCAATTATATTATTTAGTACTCCCACCGTTTCAATCAGGCCCCGGCTCAATAACATAATGGACATTGTGCAAAAATTACAAAAAACCTCCTAAACTCTATTAAAATTTGCGAAAATACCATTTTAAAAAAAAATGGATGTAAACCGAATAAAAATTTGCAAAATTTGGTTGAAGGTAGTGCGAATGCACCACTTGCCCTACCCTAGAACCAACCCTGGTTTCAATATGTATGA